TCTATCATGAAGTTCATTTATGTTTCATAAACGCCTCATACACATCACCTGAAGGTGATTTTATATGATATTTTTAACCATATATGTTACCCACTGCATGAGGTCAGGTGTGGAATTTTCCACTTGTGTTACGCCACTGCTCAAAAGGTTTCAGGTTTGGGGACATTTTGCATTTCTAGTGTTAAGATTAGGGTTGCTCAGCCTGGATTTCCATTGCTTAGCAGGGCTCCTGATATTTTGTATCCACTTTGTAGCCACTCAGATATTCACTGAACAGAAATGACAGCAGTCTTGCAATTAGTTTAAAGGGAGAAAACTTAGCCGGTAATTACTATCTTCAAGACCCAGTGCTTCCTCCACCCTCCATCCTTTGCCCACGCTAGATACATATTATAAGTAGTATCTGCTTTACTACTTACTTACTTTAAACTTTACTTAAAGCATTCTCTAATACCTTAACATGGGGTTCCCCAACCCTTGGGAACCCCCTGTTAGGAACCAGGACACACAGTGGGAGGTGAGTGGTGGGCAAGCTCTATTTGTATTTACAGCCAGTCTCCATCACTTGAATTACTGCCTGAGCTCTGCCTTCTGTCAGATCAGCAGCGGCATTAGATTCTCACAGGAGTGCAATCCCTATTTGAACTGCATATTTGAGGAATCTAGGTTGCAGGCTTTTCATGAGAATCTAATGCCTGATCTGTCACTGTCTCCCATCACCCCCAGAGGGACTGTCTAGTTGCAGGAAAATAATCTCAGGGCTCCCACTGATTCTACATTATGGTGAGTTGTATAATTCTTTCATGATATATTATAATGTATAATTATTTAATTATTACAATGTAATAATGACAAATAAAGTGCACAATAAATATAATGTGTGGCCAGGCACAGTGGCTCACGCCTTGGGAGGCCAGCGTGGGTGGATCACGAGGTCAGGAGTTCAAGACCAGTCTGGCCAAGATGGTGAAACCCTATCTCTACTAAAAATACAAAAATTAGCCAGGTGCAGTGGCAGGCACCTGTAATACCAGCTACTTGGGAGGCTGAGGCAGGAGAATCATTTGAACCTGGGGGTGGTGGTTGCAGTGAGCCGAGACTGTGCCACTGCACTACAGCCTGGATGATAAAGTGAGACTCCATCTCAAAAAAAAAAAAAAGAAAAAAGAAAAACTGGCTGTGGTGGCTCATGTCTATAATCCTAGCACTTTGGGAGGCTGAGGCAGGTGGATCACCTGAGGCCAGGGGTTCGAGACCAGCCTGACCAACATGGAGAAACTTAGCTGGGCATGGTGACACACGCCTGTAATTCTAGCTACTAGGGAGACTGAGGCAGGAGAATTGCTTGAACCCGGGAGGCAGAGGTTGCAGTGAGCCGAGATCACGCCATTGCACTCCAGCCTGGGCAACAAGAGCAAAACTCCATCTCAAAAAAAAAAAAAAAAAAAAATGTAATGTGCTTGAGTCATCCTGTAACCATTGTCCCCTGGACCCCCATCCATGGAAAAATTGTCTTCCATAAAACCTGGTTCTGGTGCCAAAAAGGTTGGGGACCACTGCCTTTAAATTTTAACTCATTTAAATCTGAAAGCAATTTTGTAAGGTTAAGCTATTTTACAGAGAAGGAAGCTGACTCAGAAAATTTAAATCACTAAGTCACACTGGGACATTGCCAGAGTTGAAAGCCAGGGCCTTCCTGCTATACTATGCAGCCCTTCATGTCCACGCACCTTAATGAGGTCCCTTACTACTGCCTGCATGCCTGAATCACAGGGAAGGCCACTACAAGGTGGTTTACAGGCCTTGGAGTTTGCATCATTTCAAGGTCAAGGAGAAATTATCCTTTTGGAGGCCCATTGTACTGTATTGGCAGGCCTAGAGGCATGAAATAAAGTCAGCAGTCAGTTTTAATCCATTACTGTTATTTTGTTGCAAACAGATCTCCGAAGGTAAGACAAATTTATTATTATGATCAGATGCTGGTTCATGCCGTGCCCATGATTTTATTCATTTTGTTCTGAAGAAATGAGTCATAGGCCCGTTTGCTTCCTATCCCCTGTGGCTGAGCTAGTTCAGCTGCATAGCAGTGAGAGAAATTCAGTTCTGCACACATTTATTGATGTGTATGTTCCCTGTGCCAGGCATTGCACAAGGAGCTAGGGATACAGAGATAAATAAGCCCCAGTCCTTGTTCTCTGAGAGCCTAGAGTATTTTCTAGGTCCTTTAATCATGGTATGCAATTGTTTTTTTATGGGGAGGATTTGGATTGTAAAATACAATCCTTGGTATTTTAGAATGAAATCCTTCTCTCAGAGAAAGTGACTCTAAAATTGAGGAACTTTTTGTTTGTGGAATGTACAGAAAGAAGGAATGACACAAATATTTTGAACTCAACAGTTTTAGAAACTGCTCTTTCACTTCAGGGCCAGCCTTGTTAGAGTCAGAATTTGATGACATTTCATCCCTTCAGGATTAGTGGAATCCATTTTTATACGCATAAGGATTTACACAGTTGAAACTTAACCACCACTCCATTCACATTCGTCAAGTCATCATCTGTGTATCCCATGAATTTGTTTTAAAATGCTGGAAAGTAATATGCCAACATTATAGAAGTGAGGGAAATAGAGGGAAATTATAGAGTAAAATCATCACCTAAAATGTCACTACCTTAATACTGAGAGGCATTTGGACCTGGGGCACATTATCTTTGCACCTCCATCTCCTCATCTGTAAAATTGAGAATAATAGTATCTACTTTTTGGAGCTTTGCCATGACCAAATGCGATAGCAAATTAAAGCACACATGCAAAAACCTACAATAAATAAATATACAATAAATGTATATTTTATTAGAGCAAAAATAAGCATTTTTATATAGTCCCTTGATCTTGGTTTTCTCACTTTTTACAAAGTTTGTTTTTTGTTTTGTTTTGGTATGCTTAAAAAAAAATTATATAGAGACAGGATCTCACTATGTTGCCTAGGCTGGACTCAAACTCCTGAGCTCAAACAATCCCCTGGCCCTGGCCTCCCAAAGTGCTAGGTCTACAGATGTGAGACATCATGCCCTGCCTGTTATACTTTTGTATGTTTGTTTCTTACTGCACATTACTAAATGATCACTTTCCATCTTATTGTGTGTGATTGCTGTTCCATGGTAGTAACAGTATGCCATCATAGCACATTCATTCCCCCGTTGTTGGACATTTGGGTTGCCTTCAGTATCGTAAATTGTGCTTCAGTGAGCAATTTTATATATGTGGTGTATTTTTACTTCCTGGGAAACCTTAAGCAGATTTCATAATCTCTGTCTTCGCTGACTTGTATGTGGATGGGGATAGAATCCTATCTACCTGCAAGGAGGGCTATATGGATTAAGTGAAGCAATATCACAAAGCACTTGGCATAGTGGCTGGTGTTTACCAGATGCTCAGTAAACATTACCTCTTTGTGTTTTTCGCCTATTTCTTTAGGCTTGCTCCAGAGATGGGGTTTCTTGCTTCAGTGTTTTCCAGAAGAATTTTAGCAGTTTATGCTGTCAACAGCAATATGTGAAAGGACTGACTTCTTGACCTCCTTATTAGCAGTGATTCTGAATTTTAACTATCTAATTCTCCCTTCAAAACGATCTTGAAAAAAACAGGTTCATCCATATTTGAGCAGGTTGTTAGGACTGGGACTCGCTTCTGCTCACCCACCTGAACAGTCAGACCTCCTGTTCACCAAGGTCAAGTTCTGGAGGCTCTTTGGAAGTCTTGTTTTTCTAAGCCTGCAGCCTCCAGTTGCATTCCACCAAACTGTAGTGTCAGTTGGTCCTTTGAAGCTTAAAACCCAGCATATGTTATTCCTTACTCAATGAAGTACACATTGTCGGTCGTCTTTGTATTTTTACTTTTTCTAAAACAAGCCAACAGTTTGCACTAGGAAAGTCCATTGTAGCAAGTAATGACCTCTATGATCCCTTCCCTTCTCCAGAAAAAAGAAATTGGCAAGGGTAACCATATGTCCTGGTTTGCTCAGTTTATACTTGTCTAGTGTAATTATTTATAGTGCTCCCTTCACCCTCAAAAGTGACCTAGTTTGGATGATAAATTATATCGTCATCCTAGCCCCAGGGGATTCCTCAGCAGCTGGGGTATCTGCCTACACTTGCCACCTCTCCACTCCCCCTGACAACTTGCTGTCTGTCCAACAAAGGATTCCACAACATTGCTTTCACCATGCTTGACTCAGAAGGTTCTGCGTTTGTCCGGCGTCTTCTGATTTCACATTAGCCCAGTAGGCACGCACTCAAATGTGTCTACTTTTATCATTCCTTTCTCCTCCATCTTGCTGATGATTATCAGTGGCACTGGCAGGGCACTTTTCATTTGATTCAAAAATGCTTTTGTCCTTCAGAATTATTTGTTTTTCAGCTAAATTCATCCCATAGGCAAATGTAACATTTCTTATTTCTCATCACTTGCAATTTAGAAGTTATATCTGTTTACAATTTCATCTTAAATGTAAACGTCCTCTTATAGAACATTTAAGCCTTATTTTGCCCTTGTAAAATATAAGATTAATTGTATTCATAAAGCTCCTCAACAGGTCAACAATGAGGAAGCAATGGCAAGGACAAGTCTATAGTGGTAGTGCACAGCTCCTGTCTCCCTGATTGGCCACAGGCAGAGTTTAGCCCGTAAGATGAGAGTTTGTAGGTACAGAATCTTCAGCATTGGAAAAACTAAAACATGTTAGCCACTCACTTATGATTACCTTGTGTACCTAAGTAACTCTAATTTAACTGACATAAAGGGCTTTGTGATTTGAGAGACCCTCTTTTCCTCCAAACAAGTGCTGACATTTCTTGGGTAAAGTGTCCATGTTTTGAGGAGGAAAAACAAGGTTTTGGTGATGGATCCTGCCAGAGTGAACCCATGCAGTGTCACTGTCGTTCATAGGTCAGAGTGTGGATTCTTAATGGAAGATGTGTTTATCTCTTTGTTTTTACTAGGTGACTTTCGGATGCTGGTTGGAGAGGATAAAACAAAAGTGTTGAATATTGTGAAGCCCAATATAGCCCACTTTCGAGAGCTCTATGGCAGCATACTACAGGAGAATCCTCAAGGCCGGCTGGAGGTAAACTGTAGGTGGAAAATAGCCTTGCATTGTTTCGAAGACAAGAGCTATTTGCAGGAAGAAGGTCAGGTGTAGAACAACATGACTAATGTGAGAATATTTATAGTTTAAAAAGTACTATATGGGAACATATGGTTCTATATATCTCGAATAGTGCTAAAAGGCAGCAGAGACTAGTAATAAGAGGCTGCCTTTGGAGAAGGGAACTAGGGGCAGAAGTGGGAGAGGGACTTGTTTTCACCATGTGTCTTTTTTGCCATTGGGAGTTCTTATGCCTGTTAATTACCAGTCAAAACTAATGAAAATAAACTTTTAGATCACTCTCATTCCATTCCCAGACCCATTTAGCTCCCCAGAGGTAACTGTACTGACATTTTGGTGTCTATTATCTTTTTCTTTTTTGGGGACAGGGTCTGACTCTGTCACCCAGGCTGGAGTACACTGTCATGATCTTGGCTCACCTCAGCCTCAATACCCCCAGCCTTAGCACCCTCAGCTCAGCACTTCTGGAGGCCAATGTGGGCAGATTACTTGAACCCAGGAGTTTGAGACCAGCTTAGGCAACATGGTCTCATGTTTTGTAGATACAGGGCAATAGCCTGTCTCTACAAAAAGTATAAAAATTAGCTGGGTTTGTTGGTGTGCACCTGTAGTCCCAGGTACTTGGGAGGCTGAGGAGAGAGGATTGCTTGAGTCCAGGAGTTATAGGCTACAGTGAGCCAGGATTGCGCCATTGCACTCTAGCCTGGGCAGCAGAGTGAGACCCTATCTCAAAATAAAAAATAATAATAAACGAATAAATTATCCCTTGGAGAAAAGTAATCTAGATTTAAGGTTTTTTGTTTTTGTTTTTTAGCTATGAAAACTGCAGGGTTTTTTTTCTTTAATGTAAAGAACACTGTATTTTACTTCGTTTCTGCTCTTCGCCATCCACATAATAGGGGCAACAAACATTGTAATGAGTAATAGATTAACGGAATTTCTAGAGCTAAAAAGGGAATTAAAAAAAATAGAAATTAGTGGCTAGGCATGGTGGCTCACACCTGTAATTCTAGCATTTGGGAGGCTGAGGCGGGTGGATCACTGGAGGTAGGGAGTTTGAGACCAACCTGACCAACATGGAGAAACCCTGTCTCCACTAAAAATACAAAATTAGCCAGGCGTGGTGGCACATGCCTATTATCCCAGCTACTCAGGAGGCTGAGGCAGGAGAATCGCTTGAACCCAGGAGGCAGAGATTGTGGTGAGCTGAGATTGCGCCATTGTACTCCAGCCTGGACAAGAGTGAAACTCCATCTCAAAAAAATAAAAAATAAATGGAAATAGGAATTAGTTTTAAAATAAGAAAAGAATAGAGAGTGACATATGAAATTCGAGAATACCCACCACGCGGTTTAACAGATTTTGCCACATTTTGTTCAGGTGGAGGTTTTTTATTTTACGCATGCACGTGGTTTAAAAGCCAAATGGTACGTCAGTTTTATAACAAGAAGGGCAGTTCCCTGTGTATACCATTCTACATTCTCAGCCTTACTTACCAGAGGCAGCTGCTTTCATCTCTAAAGCTGATTCTTCTGATATTCACTTCAGTGTTCTAAATAATATACTTTGACTATTATTTCCTGATTTTTTTTCAATCTTTCTCTTTATTTTTGCCATCCTGGAAAATGAGGATTTTTTTTTACCGTCTTACACTGCCCCATCAATTCACATACCAATACACACATTTACACACACGCACTCAGCACACACATTGTCTTCCCCTCCTACCTCATGTCCTCATGCTTCACATAAAGGTGTTTCATAATTTTTGGTTAGGTTAATATTCAGTATTTACTATATTGTGAACAGCTTTTTCTTTATTGATGAGCTGTGGTATTATGAAGTTCCCTTTCCTATACAACTTTGTTTATCCTGGAGTTGTCTTATTTTTTCAGTTGCTTAGGTCATTCTTTCATCCTCAAACTCTGACAGATCTGTAAAACTCTTCCCATTATAGACAGATTATCGGTATTTTTTGTTTCTTGTTTTTCATAGGAATATTTTTCCTGGAGCCCCCTGCCCTGTTCCCTTCTCGACTGGTTGTTTTCTAGCTTGCACAGCTGCACTCCTCCACCTTCCTTTCATTATTACCCCGAGAATTCCCTTTGCCTCCCCTGTGCTAGTTTTTGGTTCTGTGGGTCTTGCATTTTCCTCTGCCATGGCTTACCCTCTCATATTAGTGAAGTATGTCTTTTATTACCTTTTTAAAGGGTGTGAGGTAGTTAAATTTTTGAGACTTTATACCTCTGAAAATTCTACCTTCCCTTTGATTGATAGTATTGGCTAAATATCAAATTCTAGGGTGGAAATAATTTTCCCTCTTTATTTATATGTTTTCCATTAATTATTCAAGCACTTGCTAGGTTCATTCATCCTCCCTCTCTCTCTCTCTCCCTTTCTCTTTCTCTCACTTTTCTTTTTTCTTTTCTTTCCTCTTTTTTGTTTTTGAGACAGGGCCTTGCTCAGTTGCCCAGGCAGAGTGCAGTGGCGCAATCCCAGCTTCCTGCAACCTCAAACTCCCAAACTCAAGCAACTCTCCCACCTCAACCTCTTGAGTAACCGGGACTACAGGCACACACCACCATGCCTGACTGGTTTCTGTATTTTTAGTAGAAACAAGGTTTCACCATATTGCCCAGGCTGGTCGCAAACTCCTGGGCTCAAGCCATCCTCCTACCTTGGTCTTCCAAAGAATTGGGTTAACTCATGTGAGTCACTGCACCCAGTCTCAGTGAGACTTTTCTATCTGAAATTTTATAAGCTTCAATTCTAGGGAATTTTCTTTCATTATTTCTGTAATTATTTCTTCATACTCATTTTCTTAGTTTGTTCTTCCTGGGATTCCTCTTAGGTTGTTGCTAGGTCTCCTGGTTTAACCTTTTATCCTGTCTCTGTCTCTCTCACTGTCACTCTCACTCATCACTTTAGCTTTATGGGAGAATTTTTCTGATTGGTTTT